GTATATATAGCGAGTTTATACATATGAACAGTGGAGGGGGGATTAATAGTAGTTATTGGGGAAATATATTGAAGGATAAGAAATGAAAATAAGTAGTAAGTAAGTTAGATGAGTAGGAAAAGTCTTCTAATCAGCCAACTTGTAACAAAAATTCAAAAATAAAATGAAAAAATCATAATAAATCAGCTAACTAACTAATCACAAACTAAGCTTAAAAGTCACCTCAAATAAAGCTTATAACCGTTATGAAAAAGTCAATTAAAATGCAATCATCTAATAACTAATCACTAATGAATGCAGTGACTCCCCATTTATAGTTGCTCTATTAACTTGACCGCAGCTGTGGGCATGTATTCATGCATATAGTATACATATATAGCATCCACATTACGTTGACAATCCGCAAAGGGAAGATGCGGCAAAAAACTAAAGCGAAAATGAACAACATGAGAGGCTATCCTGGTCACAGGACCTGAACACAAACACACACACACACAGACAAACTCTCATACTAGCAGAACGACAGGATGCTGGATTCACAACGCGTCGTACACGCAATTGACCTAATTTTACCCCTCGGAGCCTCGGGAACCTCTACCAGCCACGAGTTATTTCCTACTCGACGTCGCGGTAATGGTCGCCGTTTAGCTTTGGGTCCTGGTTTGCCGCCAGGATGCGGCCAGGATGTGTAGGGATATGCGGCAGGATGTGCAGCTCGCCGCCTCGCAGGATGCACTTTACCCAATATTGTATTTCCCGCTTAAATATATATATATAAATATTTTTTCACCATTTTTCGCATCTATCTCTATGTGAGAGTTTGAAAAATTCATGGCAGCATTTTTGTTTTTGTTTTTTGAAGAGGTCCTGCTCCTGGCGCCCCTCGCTAGCACTTAACACATAAATATGTTTTTAGTTCACCTGACTGTAGTTTTGATTTTACTTTCATTCCTAGCTTTACATAATTAAGTTCTTGTCGATGGCGAAACTTTTTGACATTTACACATACGAAACGAGCAACTTTCGGCTGCTAAAAATGCTGCACATGGCTCGAAATTAATTTCATGGCCTCGACTTGCCTCAACCTCAACTTTGGCAAGGACGCACACAAAACACATGTTTTTAGAACGAACGTGTTAATTAGTTGAATTTCTGAGATGAATTCGCAGCACACCTTCCAAATTAAGAGCGTACTCGAAAGGGAAGTGAGCAAAACCCCCAAAAATAAAATATATATTATTTTGTAGCGTGAGAAGAACCTTGAACTAGTGGCAAATTGCTAACAAGGTCGACAAATTGCAGGCGTAGGTTTTCCACAGGTGGTGACTAAAATTAGAACAGGGCTTACGTTCAAGTGAACTTCTGAGTGTTTAATCATTGAGCTAATTAAAGGCAATAGTGGTAGAGCTGAATGCGATAATAAAGTTAAATAAACTGAAGATTTTGATGATATTTTTATATACAGTGTGGCCCATGCAGCATTTGCTTTTTGAACTATCAATCATTTTGACTTTGACAATTCGAATGCCATTGTCAATGTGTCAAATATTTAGTAGAAGGTTTGCGGTTTACGAAATGGTTAAGTTCACGCTCGAATATTGGTAAATATTAATATTATCCTTATATATCTGCATCCTTAGTTACACAGTAACCCTCTAATAACAGTTTGCCACCTACTAACCCTATTAAGCACATCTGCTTCCTACAGCCTCTCACAAACTAACTAAATCGACGACTATAACTATAAATTGTAGCATTCACAACTAATTGAATAGAAGGAGAGCCTCTACCTCAGATTTCAAAGACTCAAAGACGAAGACAAAGTTAAATCAAAGTGAATTTATGCTCTAATCAAGCCTAACAACTCGAAGAAAATTGCAGAGACACGCACAACTGCAAAGGCTTTTCATATTGATTTATAAATTTTGCAAATTCCGCTGCCATCAGCAGCAAACAAACTTCCTATGGAGAAAGTTTTTTTGGGAAGGCTTTCACATAATTCCAATGGGAACCAACACAACTATCTACCCTCAAGGCCGTTCTAATTGCATTTAATTAGCTGCCACGATGGCCTCATTTTGCCCGCCATTCTTGTTACCCCTCTTGTACTTTGCTGTTCTGTGCTGCCAACGCTGAAAAGTTGACCGACATAAATTTCATTAATTAGTTGAAAATTTCAACGGCACTTTGTGAGCAAACAACAATTTTCTGAAGATTTGTTAACGCTGCTTGGTCATTTTCCAGCCGGACCTTTTCGGTCATTAAACAAATGTATTTATGACCTGCAGGGTGGCCAAAAGATTCAAAAATCAGCACTCGTAAGGAGGAAACTTCTTCTCGGGCTAAGCAGCAATATTTGTTGAAGTTTTTACCTTACCGTAAAACTTGGCCAACTTTAAGCGGCCTTGCCAAAAACGAAAAATACTCAAAAGACAAACAAACATGTCGAATATTCCACTTTCCGTTTTTCTCGCAAGGATTTCCCGGACATAGAGCTCTGGGATTGAGGATTGCAAGGAAACTCTCGTTCGGCCATTGACAAATTCGGGACTGGGGGATAAATCAATTGAAAAATATTAATGAATTATTTATGAGATAAGACGGAAGGGCAAATAAAACGGGGAATCGGAAATAAAACAAGTCGGGCCAATCGGGCGGGCACAGCCAATGGGAAAACCTCCAGGGGGTCCAAACCGCAAGAGGAAATAACCGCACAGAAAAAAGAAGAGAAGAAGAAAAATAAAACGATTGGAAAAGCAAGAGCAGGAAAGACAAGGAAAAACAAAAGAAAAACGCCAGACCAAAACCAAAACCAAAACCAAAGCCCAAAAAAAAATGGAGAACGAACTGTAGAAAAATTACGCTGGAGACTAATAAAACAAGATTATTGCGGTATAACCGCAGACAATTGGAGGGGTAAGAAGAGGGAGGGGACTTTGGGCCAAAAACTAGACAATGAGCCAGGCCATAAATCAGCAGCCGCAGAACGCAGACAACTGCAGTTGGAAAATGGTTGCCTGTTTTTTTGGGTGGCTATGGGAAAACTCAGCTCATCCTGACCAACTCACACGCATTTAAGCCGTTTTCCTAGCACCATGATGCATAAGATAATTATGCCAATATGGGCGAAACAATCCAAGCGGAAGAGTGCCCAACAGCAGGCTTTTCCTTGGTTTAGCCCCGAAAATGTTCGTGTAAATATCAAATATTGACCAAGCCCGAAATGGAGAATGGAAACAGGATAGTTAAGCTGGCTAGAAATGTGTCTGGAATTCAATTTCATTTGACACGTTCTCCGGAAAATGCAATGAATATATCCCCCAGCAGCCGAAGGCAATCAGTTTCCATCACTCAAAAAGAGATAAACAGGAGAGTGGTGGGAAACTGTCAAATATTTCCAACCCCCTTTCCACACTTCAAATTCTGTGAAATTCCATATGGGTTCTCTCAGTTTGGGTTTCTGGATATTTCAAGGTAATATTGATAGCAAAATTAATTAATAAATATTTGTAATCACAGACGCATACAGACTAGGGAAATGTTATACTTAATTATCTGGTCAAAATAGGCGTTTAAAAATTTAATTACGTTGCAAGTTTAATTAATTATTTACCCCATGTTGGTCAAGTACAAACATATTATTAAAGGAGTAACCGCTGCTGGCAAGCAAATATTAACTTTCATTACGTGTTGTGGGGAAAATTGATTATAAAATCGCTTCTTTTAGGTAGTAATTTGCAAATTTCATTTATATTTTTGATTTTAAGCCTTAAATGTATTAAATTTCGCCGTGTTAGCAAGAAAATAATGTTATTTCACTCTAAAAAAACTTTTAAAAACATATAATATATTTCCGACATATCTTTCCTCATGTTTACATTTCCCTCTAATTGCAATTGCATTGTTTGCCACTTTTCCGTGCATTCAATTTGTCAGGCATTCAAAAAAAAAGCATTTTAAATATTTATTAAACACTTAGCCTGATGTAGCATAGTAATTTATTATCAAAGTTTTTATACAATTATTAATATTGCTGACCACACAGAGCAGCAAATAACTTTCATCGTCATCAGCATCTGCAAATAGAAAAGGACCAATCCTTCGTTGGTGGAAACCATTTCAACCGCAAAGCCCTGGAAAACTTTACTCATATAGCATATAGCCTACATAGCAGACTTTAAAATGGAAAACTCATCACTCGTCGTCGTTGATTTTTATGCTCGAAAATTAATTATTAACAAATTGCTCAGCATGAAAGCTAAAAACAAATGAATGGATCGTGTTATTGCAATTATGGCTGTTGCAGATGTTTGCTGCCAGTTTCCGTTGCCGTTGGCCCGTTGTGAGCAATTTTCTGCATTATGCCTTAAATGCAATTTGAACTATTAAAAGCATACTTTTACCACACTTTTCCAGAGGGCGGTAGGTGTGTTTAAGGGCATGGTTGGAAAACAGAATGGACGGTGGCCATTTTAGCCATTTTCCACGCACGTAAACATAATTTGCATTGCTCTGAAATATTATGGCAGCAGCTAAAAGTATGCAATACCCAGCCATCTCCCGCTTTTCCCCCATCGCTTTCCCTTTCCTTTCCATAGCCATAGAAGCAGAGGCAAAAAGTTCAAGTAGTAGGGCAAACAGACAGAGAAGAACAGGAACAGAGATGTCCTTTGGATTTTATTTAGCTATTGGAAAAAATGGTAATCTCTCTTTTTGGGTATTCTTAGGTTAAGGTTTAAGATTAGGTAATGCGTTTTGAGAGGATTTAATTTACAAATATTTTTAAATTTTTTAAGCTCATATAGTAGATAATTCAAATATTTTCCTTAAAAAATATCAAAGTCTATTTTTTTTAATATAATTTCATAGTTTTTGGAAATGTTAATCCTTAAAATAAACATTTTCTTTAACATTTATTTGAGCTTTTTTAGCTGATTTCGGTCAGCCTGGTCAAAGGCCAAAAAGGTTGCCAGATCTGCTGAAAGGGCAAGAGCACTTACCGTTATAGAATGGCCAGAGTAGCGATTGTTGTTGCTGCTGCTGCTGTTCCGTGGGTTGTTGTTGTTGTTGTATTATGCTAACAACTAACGCCATTATTATAATAACTGCTCGCGTCGTCGCCGGTGCCCTTGTTGTTGTTACTTTTGCTGCTGGGTTGCTACTGCTGCTTGTTGCTGCTGCTGCTGCTGCTGCTGTTGCCGTTGATGTTGCTGCTGGGACGTCGACATCAGCAGCGTGGCCTGGGCTACGCGTTTCGATGACGTCGACGTCGGCGGCGCCGTTGCGACGGAAAAATCCGCATAAATTTATATTGCAAATTTGTTTCCCCTCCTTTTGCCGATGTTGCTGTTGGTCCTGCTCCTTCTGTTGCTGCTGCTCCTGCTGCTGCTGCTGCTGCTGCTTGTGTTGTTTAACAATAACTATTGCCGCAGGCATCCAGCGAGATTTAATAGTTTTTGCCTGTCGTTGAGTTTTATTTGCCAGTTTTCAGCTGATTTTTCTTGTTGCTGCATTTAAGTGCTGATGTTGCTGCTTTTGCTGTTGCTGTTGCTAATGTTGCTGCTGCTGGTGCTGCTGCTATTGCTGCTGCCGCTATTGTAGCCGACTTTAGCAGCATAATGCGCCATTCGCTTTTGCCGCTATTATATTTTGTTTTATGCTTACTTAAACTTTTACTTTTCCTAGCCGTCAATGAAATATTTGATCAGAAAGCACAGCAAAAGCATTCAGCTGGCTTGTAGTGGGTTTTTATGACTCAGCTGATGCTGTTGCTGCTGCTGCTGCTGCTCTTAGTTTTATCTCAGTTCACTTAAAGTTTACCTTTATTTTGCTTCACTGCACAGGAAAAATAAGCAATGAAGCAATCACTTTCTGCTGTATAAACCCCGCAGCAACGTGTCCGATTTAGAGGATGGAAAAAGAAGAGAAAAGTGTGGGGGCCCTGATGAAGTTGTACAGATTTAAAAGGGTTCAGTGTGTGGCTAAAGAAACGCTTGAGTCTAGAATGCTCAGCTATTCAATGGATATATTATTTCCAATAAATGTGGATTAAGAGCCCCATGGCAATGATTTTGATAGGTAGAAAGAACTTAAAAGAAAAATTCGGACTTTGTTGATCCGCTTTTGAATTTTGAACTTAATTGGTGGCCTAGTTTTCGTTTTTAAGCTGCTCTATATTGCTCTCTGTTTATTCTTATACATTTTTTTGCTTTAATAAACATGATTTTGTTTATGTTTCTTAACAGAAATAGTGCAAGTCAAATAAAGCTCAGAACGCACGACTAGTCTGCTTGTACTAAAAACAGCACGCTAAAAGCCTATAAGTGTTTATTTTTCTATAAATAAAATATAAAATCTAAAATATATAAATCATAAAGAATATTTCTGAGCCTGCCTTACACTTTTTTTAATAATTTTCAGTTGTTAAATTTCCAACCACTTTTAGTCTACTAAACCCTCTCATTTTAATGGGTATTTTTCCATAGCTATCGCCTGTTGCTCGACGCGTCAACACTTTTGCTTTCCATGGCAAAGTTTCAACATTTCAGTTTGCCATTTTAGCTGCCACTTTCCCTGCACTCCAGTTAACTCCACTTCGCCCCGAGGAGCACCACTTCTTCCATGTCCTTCGACATTTTGTTTCCCTATTTTCTCTCTGGCCCCGTGGTCTCTTGACTCTGGTCTCTGGTCCTTTTGCCAGTTTTCTTTTGCACATCAGTTTACGTGGCCGTCTCTATCTCTATCTCTTTTGCCTCGCTCACAGGCCCTCTTGGCCATTTGCTGTTAGTCTAATTTAATTGCATTCGTGGCTCGTTTTGTTACGTATACGCAGGGTGAGACGTGTGCAGAGAGGTGAAGGAAATCCATTGAGGTTGCAGTTTTGCAGCAACGCCCTGACCTGTCCATGTCCTTGCTGCTCTGCATTCCTTTGTCAATGCCCTTAATCCTTATCAGTTTGCCAAAACAAAACAAAACAAAAAACAGACAAAAAGAAACAAAACACAAAAAAAATGACAAAAACAAACACAAAGCTATGAAACAAAAAAAAAAAAGCTAAACGAATGGCTAACACCGAGAGAGGTCCTGGCTTATTTTCCTGTTGACCCTGTTCGCTGGCTGTCCTGCCCCCGCAACTCAGCTCGACTACTCTCACTTTTATTCGGGTGCAAGGTAAATGATTTATTATCGAATGGCGGCCGAATGGCCGATTGCGGTCGGTGCGGCCATTCTTTAAACAAACCATCGTAATTAATGATACAGAAAATGAAATTCAACACACACAAAACTTGGCCACAGATTTATTGCCTTGCACTTGAACTGTACAATAAATAAATAGTTCTAGTCTGAGAGGTGGGGCTGGGGAAATGGATTACTCTGGCTTGTCTGCTGATTAGCCAAGTGGGTGGGCTATGTTGGTAAGTGTAATTGTTATGGCTAGTGTTTGAACTGAAATTGCTGGGATTAATGAGAAACTAAGCGGAGTCCAAGTTGGTGGGAGTTTCCCTGACATTTGCTAAAGAGGATAGAGAAATATTTGCAAGAAAAAAGTTTGGTAAAGAAAAGTCTTAAGTAATGTACTCTCTGCCCACTTTTTAGATCAAATAAAATTCGATATTTTTAGAGCAAATTCTGTTCCTACAGTAATAAAGTAAAAAAAAGTAAGTAAACCCCTAAACTTTATACATTTTTAAAAGGAAAATCACTGGGAAGAGACAAAATAAAACAATTAAAAAGTTTTCCAATGAGCAGATTAAACTTCCCTTTACTCTGATGTACTCCAAAAATAATATTTAAGATCTCATTAAGTTTTTTCCTGATAAAAGCAAATAAATTCTATCAAGTTTGTGGGCAAATATTAAATATTTATTTGGAAAAAAAAGGAAATGTAACCCCAATGGAAAAGTTGCCAAAAGGAAGCCCAACTTTTGACTGACAAAGGGAAGCCTCTGCCGGAAATAATTTTTTCCTTTTTTTTCAAACAAAAAACTCCCATTTTTAGCTTGATATAAAGCGTAGCACGTAAAATCAACTTTAATCAAGTGACTCCACCTGCCATACGATTTTTCCCATAGAAAAACCCCGGCGTACCAATCAATAAAATGTCCTTTAATAATGTCGAAAAGAAGACCCGTCCGGGCAGTCATAAAAAAGCGTTCCAAAAACGATATGAAATATGCTTCATAAAGATTAAAACCTGTTCTTATGCCTTTGGCCTGCGGTAACAGATGCAGCCGGAATGTGCCAGGGCGCATATGTATGTGGTGGTGAAGGGAGAGAGGGGTCTGTGACTAAGGAGTAAGGACGAGCCGGAGACGTGAGTCCTGGCAACATTTTATTATCCTAGAATGCCAGCACAGACCACAAAGTGCGGCCAACAGCTTGGGGAAGCCCTTCCCTGGCAGACTACCTATGAGCTTTGCTTTTGCTAAGCCCTCTCTATGCACAGAGGGAAAATATGAACAACATTTTATGAAACATGAAATCTGATTAGGATATAATAAAAAAACTATTTTTCTTACTTTAAAGTAGAAAATGTAGGATTTAATATATATTTTTAATGGTTATTGAGCTCTCTATCTAACTTAAACACTAATAAACTTTCCCATTCTTCTCCCTCAGTGAATGTCTTTGCCTTAGAAATCTGCCCAAAGATCCAAAATGATGCAAGATGTGGTAAAGGAGCGCCAGAGCAAGAAACAAGGAGCAGACAACAAGGAGCTGCGGGCAGGATGTCAGTCAATAAGCCTAATTCTACAAGATTTTCCTCTGTTGCGTGTGTGAGTGTCTGAGTGAGTGAGTGTGTGTATTTGTGTGCGGGCTTTTCACAGGCTCGTGTTTATGAATTATTAGCATAAACAATCACACAGCAAGGCACAAATACATGAGCGAACTAAGCAGTAAGCACTAAGCCCTATATGAATTCTGATTAAATGTAATGCGCTCAAAGCGCATTCAAAGTTGCCATTAAATTATTGATGATCCCTTTTGGCCAGCCAGCCAGCGACGGTCATTAGCCAGCTAGCTAAAAGTGGCCACCGAAACTGAACTAAACTAAAACTGCCACCCAACCGCCGACAATGCTGTACATTATTCAGGATATGTCCTTGGGCAAGCGTTAAGCTTTCAATGTGATTAGGTGAGCCAAGTTTGCACACACATATATATATATATAGAGAGAGGTATATACGAGTATATTCCTGGGTTCACACTCCATTAGAGTTGAAAATTTTGCCCAAATTCTGGCTAAAATTCTTCGGCTTAAATTCATGCGGTTTGCTCAGACAACTTAAGGAACTTTTTTTCGGGCCCCAAGGCGTCGGGTGAAGACGAAAAAAGAAAGCATTTCCCTTTTTACATTATTTATTCGACCCTTGACAGCCTTTTCATATATATTTTATACATTTTTATGCCTTTCCTCACATTGAAGAATTTTAATTTTCATCCCACCAAAGGATGAAGACGGGAAAAGTTACTGGGCGGGAGTGTAGGTAAAGCCACCCAGCGTCCTTGCTTCGTTTGATTGATTGGTGGCAGCCAGAACCGAAAAGTCCTTGCCAAAGTCAGGTGAATAGTCAGGTGTCAATCGTAAGCCGGTCTAGAAACAAGGACACAAAGCAAAACAACTTTGGGACACTTTTGTTCCGACTTTTCCAAGATGTATGGCCATGTAAATGAGATTCCCTTTGCCATCCTGATTCCGAGTTTTGTGTTCTTTGTCGTTTTTAATTGGCTTATGAGTCAAGAGCCTTAAAACGAAATTATTGCCAGACGATTCTTTGTCTGTGTAATTGCCGAAGTGTGTTTAAAATGTCTCTAATTAAAAAAGAGAGAGCTGTCGAGCCTTGTGTTCGTGGAAAATGACTATTTTTAGAACCCTAAAGGGTTTTCCCGCATTTTACTTTACGCCCTTTTAAAGGGCGAATTTAATTAGGATTTATGCAACTAAAGTTGATGTGAGGGAAGAACTTCTCAAAGCCGGCTAATCCATTGGCAACAAAAGCGCGAACAACTCTTTGGCCCTCGAAAAGCCACACACACACACACGCCCTACACACACACACATCCACACTCGCCGAACTCCCACTAAACCAAACAAACCAGAGCAGAACAAACTCGAGCACTTTCCTGCACTTGTAAATGGCCAAAAGAGCTGGCATTAAAGCCACCAACACGGCGCGATTGCATGTTTGGACCACATTTTGGCCTAGGCCTAGGCCTACACAACACACATGCACACAGTGAAAAAAACTAGTAATAGCATATCTAATTAGGTATCTTAATGATTTGTTCGATTTTTGTGTGTTGTGGAAAATAATAAACCACTAATTTTCCCTTTCACATTTAATCAGTTAATCTAATTAGGCCTATCTGTACTAGCCTGCATGGCTTTAATAGATTTATTCGTTTCTCTTTATCATGCTTGTACAATAAATTCAATTATTGTAATTAAGAAAACTAAGTGAAAATGATAAATTAGATTTATTATGGAAAATTAAGGAAATATTTAATGGGATTTAATAATATAATTATTTAATTTGGTTTAAATGACAATTGTTCGTTTGAATATGGATTAACTAATATGGATTAAAGTTCTAGCTTCTTATCAATCAAATCAAAAATAAGCAAACTATTTAAACAAAAGAGGGAAATACCTAAATAGATTTCTACAAGAAGTTTAAAAAGAAAATATTTCTAACATTGTAAAAAACATATATCCCAACAGTAGCTTAGGCTTAGCCACCCCACATTGCATTAGCTTAGGCTTAGCCACCCCACATTGCATTACATTGGCTATTATTTTTCCCCGTGCTTCATCTATTGACTATAAAAAAGCCAAGTAAATTGCTTGACGATTTTCGCGTCATTTTTCCGGCCTCACTTGGGGCATAAAACCAGGTCCACCCCCGACTCCTCATCTATTTGAACGCTTGGCTGAGCATAAATCACACGAAGGACGAAATAGGAGGAATATGTGTGTTCAGTGTTCACTGTACAATGTTCAATGTTTTGCGATGTTACGATGTTTGTTTGGTGATTGGGGGAAATCGGCACATTTTGCTGCATACTTTTAGGGCGCCAAAGGTCTGGCAATTGCAATTGACAGTTTATTTATTCATTTTGACAGTTTTATAGACACGCACGAACGAATCGGCGATTAGGGGGCTTAATTTCATGGTTAATCCGTTACAAATGTCAACTGTCAATTGGTTGGTTTTGTTTTTCAGCCACCCCAGCCAACAGGGAAACCCACTAAAGGACCAAATAAAAACTTCACACATTTTAAACATGCCTAATTGCAGTTGCATGTAATGTTGTTGCTTAAATATGCAAAATCCTAGTTTTGTGCGGCTGACATTTGACACAGTTGTTTTGTATTGTTATTGTTGTTTTCCTTCCTGTTTGCTGATTGACAATGACTTTCCATGTCGCCTGCCATTGATTGGCAAAAGGAGCGGGAAATGTCCCCCGAAATGTTTGGCGTTAGCGGGTGAGTAGGCTGCCATCAACCACCACACACACACACACAATCGCACACTCAATTGATGACAATCGACACTGTTCATGAATATTTAAATTTCTATTGTTGTATGTGTTGTTCCGTTATTCACTCCACGGGGCCATTGAAAAGACCGTTATTCGGCGACTCTTCACGCCGCTCGTTAACGCACTTCAAAATTACGCCTTTTCTTTGCTTGTTCCGAAACAACTGGGGAGAAACACGGGAAAACTGCGTGACCCACTCGATTTACCGTTGTGCGCGGATTGGACTCGAGGTCGCGAATGTGTGGCACTTCCGCAGCCCCTGGTTGCCGTCACAATACTGAGATCGGCGGTATGAACTATAGCGGCTATAGGCAAAGGCGAAGGTAAAAGCGAAGGCTTCCGAGTCTCACGGAAAGAAAAAAAACACAAAAAACGACTAGGACAACAACACGAACTGCCTCACACAGACTGGCAATCATTTGCACACATACATCGACAGGTCGGAAAAGCTTTTAAGGACTCCAATTCGCCGCACTCCGAATGTGTGTTAAAGCTCTGCACAGGCTGGGGAAATGAATATTTCCCCAAATTTCCTGTCTGCCTAATGTCAAAGGGTTAAGGCTGAGATTTTTTAAAGTGAAACAAAAATAGTTTACAATTTAAAAATACATTTTTTTTCATTTAAAATAAAAATTATTTAAAACTTGTTTATTTCTAAAGATTATAAATATAATTTTTATTTTTAGTTTAAGTTTGACATACATTTTTTAAAAAGTTTAAAAATATAAAAAAAAGTAAATTTAAATCGGTAAATATATTAAAAGGTTAAATATTTAAAAGGGAAGTAAATTATTTTATATTCATATTTTTTTTCTCTTCGTCAATTTTCCTTCTGCTTTATAAGTTTACACTGCTTTTAGATAAATTTATAAAAATTGGCAGATTTTGCAGTCCTTAAAGGTACGCATTGCACTGCTTTTAAAGGATTTTACGTGCCTAGTTAACCTGCTTGCAATGCACTGCTTTTAAGTCCACTTCTACCAAATGGTTCTTTTTCTTAGTTCACAAAAAATTGCTTCTTTTAGTTCTTTTGTCATTTCATATTGCTGTTTAGATCA